GGACACCTGAGACTTTAACTAGCGATAAAAACTTTGATCTCCGGCCGGTGAACCGAGCGAAAGTAGTTATTATGTCAGAGAGAATACGGTGATAATTGTGTATAAATAAAGTATATAGGTCTATACCTGTCTACTACTACCATAACTACTACTACTACCACTACTACTACTACTACTACTACTACTACTACTACTACTACTACTACTACTACTACTACTACTACTACTACTACTACTACTACTCCTACTACTATACGAGCTATATCATCTACTTATACAACTACTCCATTGTGGCATTATATTCTCCCTACGATACAGCAACGCCTTCAGACAATTTAAAAAATCGTCCATTGTTGACATGTGCATCCACGATCGCTATTGGCTAGCTGAGCTTCGTGAAGAATCAGTGGGACATAGTTCACGCGTTCATTCTTTGCCAATCAGCTCGCGAGCGTGCTTATTATCTGCCAATCAGGTTCGAGCGTGTTCATCATCCACCAATCACCGTAGACCGTGGGGGTTGGGGGGAGGGGTACTTGGTGGTTTATATTCAAATTGGGTTGAGCTGAATGGTTATTACCAGCCGGTACTGGCATAGTGTTGAGACTGCTTGTTGAGTGGGCCTTGCAGGACGAGCTTCAGCTCCTGGGCCAAGTGTTGCAATCGATGTTCGGTAAATGATATTGCTGCCAAAGCTTCCTGTCTCGTGGCTCATTCCACTTGCTCACAACTCTCTCATTCCACTTGCTCACAACTCTCTCATTCCACTTGCTCACAACTCTCTCATTCCACTTGTTCACAACTTATGCCCTCAAGAAGTGCTTCCTTATTATATCCATCGACGATGATGCGCTTGTGTCACTTTCCCAGCAATGTGAGGGCTATTTCCATCAGCTTTTTTTTCAATAGCTAAAATATTAAAAGCTGAAAAACCAGTCTTGTAGCAAATCTGGACTCGTGTGTGTGTGTGTGTGTGTGTGTGTGTGTGTGTGTGTGTGTGTGTGTGTGTGTGTGTGTGTGTGTGTGTGTGTGTGTGTGTGTGTGTGTACTCACCTAGTTGTACTCACCTAGTTGTGTTTGCAGGGGTTGAGCTCTGGCTCTTTGGTCCTGCCTCTCAACCGTTACTCAACTGATGTACAGATTCCTGAGCCTACTGGGCTCTGTCATATCTAGATTTGAAACTGTGTATGGAGTCAGCCTCCACCACATCACTTCCTAGTGCGTTCCATTTACTAACTACTCTGACACTGAAAAAGTTCTTTCTAATGTCTCTGTGGCTCATTTGGGTACTCAGCTTCCACCTGTGTCACCTTGTTCGCGTCCCTCCAGTGTTGAATAGTTCATCCTTGTTTACCGGTCGATTCCCCTGAGGATTTTGTAGGTTGTGATCATGTCCCTCCTTACTCTTCTGTCTTTCAGTGTCGTAAGGTGCATTTCCCGCAGCCTTTCCTCATAACTCATGCCTCTTAGTTCTGGGACTAGTCTAGTAGCATACCTTTGGACTTTTTCCAGCTTCGTCTTGTGCTTGACAAGGTACGGGTTCCATGCTGGGGCCGCATACCCCAGGATTGATCTTACATATGTGGTGTACAAGATTCTGAATGATTCCTTACACAGGTTCCTGAACGCCGTTCTGATGTTAGCCAGCCTCGCATATGCCGCAGACGTTATTCTCTCTATGTGGGCTTCAGGAGACAGGTTTGGTGTGATATCAACTCCTAGATCTTTCTCTCTGTGTGTTTCATTACATTGTCTGTTTGTGTGTGTGTGTGTGTGTGTGTGTGTGTGTGTGTGTGTGTGTGTGTGTGTGTGTGTGTGTGTGTGTAATTACCTAAGTGTAGTTACAAGATGAGAGCTACGCTCGTGGTGTCCCGTCTCCCTAGCACTAGTGTGTGTGTGTGTCCAATGTCTACTCGGGGCCAGCCTCAGTATCGTGCAGGTGAATCCAGACTGCTTCCAGGAATTCCGTTTCAATTTGTTTCTCATCCACACAGAATACTTAGCATATTGTGGTCGCCGCGAGAACATGAAGAGGAGATGATGACCCATCAGGCAGACTGCATCAAATATTTATACTGAATGAGATGGACATAGGTGATACACATCAGATTAGTTCCAGGTATGCATTACCAGGAGAGGCTACATGGTTACGGGAGACATGATCGAAACATACAAAATTCCCAAGAGAAACTGATCGGCTTGACAAAGACAGATTATTTAATGCGGGTGGTACTTGCACAAAGGGACACAGGTAGAAACTGAGAACCCAAATGAGCCACAAAGACATTAGAAAAAAAATTCAGTGTCAGGGTAGTTAACCACAAGTACAATTAAATTTCTTCAATTAAATTAGTACACACACACGCACTCATGAATGGTCCAACAAATGACTACTAAAGTTCAACCCAAGTAAATGTAAAGTAATGAAACAGTGCGGTGGAAACAGGAGGCCAGACACAGGATACCGAATGGGACATGAAGTCCCTCATGAAACGGACAGAGAGAAATGTGGGGAATTTCCCAGTAGATAAAATTGTTACTTTGAATTATATAAATGAGTGGACTGTATGTTTAGTTAACCTTCGACTTGATGTTGTCCTGTACACATTAATTTGGGGAGTTGATTTAGTGTTTATATCAACCGTAGATTATGAGTCAGTAATATTCAATTAAATTGGTTAGTGAGCTGCGCTACTTGTCGTTAGTTGACGTATTATGTGAGATTATCTGACCTGACGAACTCCACATAACACTCAGAAAGCACAGGAGCAGACGACCACTGTGAGGTCGACGACATGTAGAGCCTCGTGGCTACGGCGCCACTGCACTCTAGCGTCTTGAGACAAGTAGACTGGTCTCTCAAGTCGTCACTGAAGAGCTCTCTGTGTGACTAACCATCCTGTGTGATAGGGATTTTTAGCATCACCTAGTTAGCTTTTTTGACACACTGTACTCCACTTCATATAGTCTAGGGTAGGTACACTAATGCTGATGTACCTAATGTATTAATAAAAAAAAAACTGAAGAGCTGCCGAGGGTTTACAATGAAGAAATTGCTTCAAACTACTATGTACTGGCACTGTTAGACAACATGAAAATAGAATAAATAATTAAGAGAGGCTCACTCTATTTTGTTATTATGAAGGCCTCGTTACCCGGCTGAATCACTCATCATTGAGCTCATATAAAAGTCAAACAACACAACTGGGACGAGGTCTCTCGTAATTAGAGGATGCGACGGCGGAAGTGGAGATATTCTTGTCTACATTCACAAAGCAGCTGCCAGGAGCACCTCTTGAGAGCCGCGCTGTTAATTTCCTAATGGCCGACCTTCCTCCTCCTCACTCTGGACTAGTCACGCTGCCCTACGAGCGTGAATTTAGTTCGTTCGTGAACGAAAAGGGGGAGGTGGTAATTTACGTATAAATTTAATAGTCTCAATCACAAGGAACAGTTTTTCTTCAGGCAGATGCCTTGAAGGAAAGGTACTCAGAGAACTAACATTGCCTTAAGTGCTAGTAGTGACCGGTATGTTAATCATGTTCTTACACACAGCTCCAGATGGAAGTAGGTTGACAAAGAACTCAAAAGAGTAAGGCAGGTCCTTGTTAACAACAGGTGCAGTAATGGTTAATGTCTAAAAGGTAATTAAAATTAAGGTGAACCACCATGCTACCTCTGGTCAAAAGGTCAAAACTAAAGAGTGTGTCGGACCTATTAAACTCTTTAACAGGAGGAAAAAGTGCAAAAGACAAAAATAACATAAACCTGACCCCCTACCAACACTAAACAGAAAATACAGCTTATCACATACTACAAGAGTAAGACCACCCACTTGCTCATGAAAAACTCTCCTGAAACAAATTGAAATACACTTCCTTGAAATGGAGAAATGCTACCTGTTACTCCATACACAGTTTCAAATGTAGATATGATAGAGCCCAGTAGGTTCAGGAATCTGCACACCAGTTGATTGACAGTTGAGAGGCGGGACCAAAGAGCCAAAGGTCAACCCCCGCAAGCACAAATAGGTGAGTACACACACACACACAGAGGAAGCAGCCCGTAGCAGCTGTCTAACTCCCAAGTACCTATTTATTGCTAGGTAACAGGGGCATCAGGGTGACAAAAACTCTGTCCATTTGTTTTCGTCAGCGCTATGAATCGAACCCAGGTCCACAGGACTACGTATCCAGCCTGCTGTCCACGGCCACAGTGTGTGTGTGTGTGTGTGTGTGCTTGTGTGTGTGTGTGTGTGCTTGTGTGTGTGTGTGTGTGTGTGTGTGTGTGTGTGTGTGTGTGTGTGTGTGTGTGTGTGTGTGTGTGTGTGTGTGTGTGTGTGTGTGTGTTAGAGACAAATATATGCAGTAGACATAATAGAGGAAAAATAGATTGCTCAGAAAGGCGGGGTCCAAGAGCTAACAGCTCTATTCTGCAATCACAAATAGTAAATATACACACACAGACACACACAAAACCACACACACTAACAACACAATCTCACATCACACGCTGTCACAACTTCATAAATACCTGTATATACACTGCAGAACAAGACGAAAATTCATCAATACATCGGTATAATGAATATATTATGAAGTATAATGATGGCTCGCCTCCCTCCCTCGGGCGTATATACTAATGTGAGATACGTGTTAGACAAACTCATTTACATATTAAGAGAGAACACTTAGCTGATTACAGACTTTTGTCTACAGCGAACAGCCTTTAGCTCTTGAGTCCTGTATCATGACGTTCCTATTCTCTGTCACACTTGCTGATGAAGCTGTGAGTAGTATAGTCACACTTGCTGATGAAGCTGTTAGTACAGTTACACTTGCTGATGAAGCTGTGAGTAGTACAGTCACACTTGCTGATGAAGCTGTTAGTACTGTCACACTTGCTGATGAAGCTGTTAGTACAGTCACACTTGCTGATGAAGCTGTGAGTAGTACAGTCACACTTGCTGACGAAGCTGTTAGTATAGTCACACTTGCTGATGAAGCTGTTAGTATAGTCACACTTGCTGATGAAGCTGTGAGTAGTATAGTCACACTTGCTGATGAAGCTGTTAGTACAGTCACACTTGCTGATGAAGCTGTTAGTACTGTCACACTTGCTGATGAAGCTGTGAGTACTACAGTCACACTTGCTGATGAAGCTGTTAGTACAGTCACACTTACTGATGAAGCTGTGAGTAGTACAGTCACACTTGCTGACGAAGCTGTTAGTATAGTCACACTTGCTGATGAAGCTGTTAGTATAGTCACACTTGCTGATAAAGCTGTGAGTAGTATAGTCACACTTGCTGATGAAGCTGTGAGTAGTATAGTCACACTTGCTGATGAAGCTGTGAGTAGTACAGTTACACTTGCTGATGAAGCTGTGAGTAGCACAGTTACACTTGCTGATGAAGCTGTGAGTAATATAGTCACACTTGCTGATGAAGCTGTGAGTAGTATAGTCACACTTGCTGATGAAGCTGTGAGTAGTATAGTCACACTTGCTGATGAAGCTGTGAGTAATATAGTCACACTTGCTGATGAAGCTGTGAGTAATATAGTCACACTTGCTGATGAAGCTGTGAGTAATATAGTCACACTTGCTGATGAAGCTGTGAGTAATATAGTCACACTTGCTGATGAAGCTGTGAGTAATATAGTCACACTTGCTGATGAAGCTGTGAGTAATATAGTCACACTTGCTGATGAAGCT